TCATCTGGCCAAAGCATGTTCAAGACCGAAATAAAATTAAGAGACAGTAAGTAGGCATCTTACTATGGGGTATTTCATTTACTAATTTGTGTTTACTATGACTACCTAACTGGTATTTTATGTTGTAGGTTCTATAAATTTGGGATTCCCGGAGTATTAGGCTGCATAGACGGCACCCACATAGCCATCCTGAGACCGGTTGAACATGAGGAGCGATATTTTAATAGAAAGGGATACCATTCCCTTAATGTTATAATTGTAAGATATCTTAATTTGCGCACACACACTAGTGCACTAGATTATCTCTTGCGTATGTGGCTGATCTTCATTGATATGCCATTATGACTGAAACAATCAGAGAGTAGTCTAGTAGTATGTGATTGCTTATTGGTATGATGCCTACCAATAAGCAATAACATTCATTTTGAAACAACTTAACAATTAGGTATCTTCTACAGATTTGTGATGCTGAACGTCATACCGATGCTCGTCGCTTCTGCCAGTACGGTGCGACGCCAGGTTTGTACAGGACGGCCACCCTTTCTTTTCCCTTGGGGATTCCAATCCAAGGCTTGCTTGGATATGTGATCAGGGTCCCTTCGGAGCGTGTGCCCTATTCATCCCCACTTGCGGCGCTTAATCTGGCGGTCGATTGGGCTTTCGTGGCATTTCTCCAAAAGCTCTACGTTGGAGATGGTCTCGGGCCAGTAAATTCCGAGAATGCGACGCAGGCATCGGTTAACGAAGACTTGAAGTTGGCGTGAGATGTCTTTAGTCACCTTCCACGTTTCGCACCCATAGAGTAGAACGGATTTTACATTGGACCCGAAGACTTTCAGTTTTATCCTTCGGGGCAGTTTCCGTGACTGCCACACAGGTCTCAGCTGCGCGAAAGTAGCTCGGGCTTTGGCGATTCTTGAAGTGATGTCCTCTTCAGTACCTCTAGTCTCTGACACGACGCTCCCGAGGTAAGAAAATTAGTGGGCACGTTCCACTGTCTCTGTGGCAATCAGCAACGGTGTAGTATTCTTCATACCCGTTCTAATTTCTTTGGTCTTTCGGGTGTTAATTCTCAAAACTATTGCAACGACTATTGTTATTGCGCAGAAATTTTACTTGAAGTCGGGTCCCGTTGCATAAATTTGGTGGTTTGAGATTTCTTAGTAAAATTATTGGGGCACCTATTCTTAACTTAAGAGAATGTGGGGGAAGGCCGCTTCGCTTGGGTTCAAGGAATTGAGGAACTCCTGTGGGTAATGAACTACATCTTCTTGATCCATCACGGTATCAATGGATGTGTAGGTTACAATATCTCCTGGGAGTTTACTCAAAATGATGTCATTTATTTCGTCACCGCTATTATTTCTTGCCGCCAATATTGCTCTTTGACACATTCATTGATGGTCCTTGTTTTCTGTTTGGCTGATGTCAAGGTATACCTTAATTACTAATTCCTCGATGTTACCCACTTTTACTCCTAAATCGCAATCAATTTTAATTTTATTATTACAATGAGGTATTTTCCCGTCTCCTACAGAAAGTAATTTGGAAGGGAAAGTTATACTACCTCCCCTCAAGTGTGCTCTCATTAAAAGATAGACATACTACTTTCGTGGACTTTTTTTAGATCATTAAAAGAGCTATTATTCTTTAATACATATTTTTGTGTATTTTGAACCGTTTACACAGCGCACGCAACGGAAGACTTCAAAGATGAAATAATTTCCTCCGTTTTTTACACATTTACCACTTATCTGTGCTCCTATTGGTCGTAGCGTGATGTTATATAGCTAATAACCTTCCTCGATAACTGGACTATCCAACACAAAAATAATTATTTAATTCGAACCAGTAGTTTCGGAGATTAGCGCGTTCAAACAAACAAACTCTTCAGCTTTATAATGTTAGTATAGATGTAGATGGTGTTTTATGTATAAAAATGGTATTCCTAGAAAAGGCGTTAAGGAAATAAATAGTTATTTATTTAATTGTTGCAGGGCAATACCATCATGAAACAAAAACAACACGTATGTACACAAAATTTGGCCAAAAATATTGTTGATAAAGAGTTCATAAAATTAAGAGAAAATGTAATAAATTCATTAGAACCTGTGCCTAAATTATACTACGAAGCAAGATCTAAAATTGAGCAATTGGGTTTAGATTTAGTAACTAAAGTACCTTCATTATCGAACGTGCGACATAATTTATATACATTAAGAAATAAATCATTAGGAGTTAATAAAACAGTTCTCAAAAGTTTTTAAGAGGTGGAAGTGCCATTAAATTTTCATGATTTTATATTAGCTGATTATTATAACGAAGGTGCACGTATTATACTTTTTTGTAGTCATGCAAACAGGATAAAGATTGGTGAGATCAAAGAATATTTTGGCGATGCAACATTCAGTTCCTATCCCAAACTATTTAGTCAAGTGTATATTATCCATGGCGATATTGGAAGCACCGTCACAGAAACAAAAACGGCACCTTTAATTTATGCATTAATGTCTAACAAAAAGCAATATACATATGTTATAGTTTTCGAACTTATTAAACAAGAACTTCCTAATTTCAAACCAGTCAATTATCATTGTGACTTCGAAAAAGGAGCTATAAATGCAATTTCGGAAGTTTTTCCGCAAACAAAGTTAACAGGTTGTTCTATCATTGGAGTAGAGCAATATGGAAAAGGGCCAAAAAGTTAAAACTTAAAGGCAGAAAGCAAAGAAGGCTGGTGGGACTGAGTGCAGTTCTGCCGCTTTTGCCGGCTGAAAACATGACCGAAGGCCTTAGCTATATAAGTCGGAAGGCAGTAATACAGAAGAAATGATTCCGTTTCTCAAATACCTGGACAGATTTTGGATTTCAACAAACTTTAATTCCATATTATCTGTGTTTGGTGAAAGACAGCGCACAAATAATGTTACGGAATCTTTTCATTCAAAACTAAATAAAGCCCTGAAGAAATCCAATACTAACATTGATCGCGGAGAACCTAACGGGTAACCGGGGCTCCGGCTCGACGTGCAGGAGAAGGAACGGGGTGGTTTTTAGTCAGTAAGAGTCTGACACTCCCTTCCGCCTCACCCAGGCGGGAGCAGTAATTCGGTGACTTTCCCCCCTTAAAAAAAAAATACTAACATTTTACGCCTTCTAACTGTACTTAAGGGACTTGAATCCAGTTCTTCCAGTAAAAGGAAAACTAAATATATAAAAGATGACGACGATATATTGGAAATACAATTAGGATTGATAAATAAAGAAATATCAGTTGGACTCGCTTTGGAAAAGTTACGTAATTAGTCAGTGCATAGGTACTGTTTACCGAAGTAGATTGGTTTGTCTTTTGTCCAATTTCATAGGCGGAAGACCTATTTTTATTTTTGTATTACTTAAGTTAGTGAATACTTGAAATTTTTATTTTGACGTTTCTACTCCGATAAAGTACAAGTCTTGTTTTTCAGATATTTGCAGAAGATTATTACTTCTTTGTTGTTTTTTTTTACAAACCTAACCTAACCTACCTAGGTGGACCATGGCCTATTGACATTTTTTATTTGCATATTACTCATGTAGGTAGGTAGGTGAACCACCGGCAATAAAAAGTGCCCATGGTACACCCAGGTGTACTGAGGTGAACCACCGGCAACAAAAAGTGCCCATGGTATACCCAGGTATACTATGAAAGTGGACCACGACCGATGAGCGGAATTATTTAAGAAAATACCCTCGTTGCTCTGCCTGCCTTCCTCCCTCGTTGGCCGAGTCGTCGCAAGTTCGACTGCCGGGCAGGGGTCTTAGGTTCGATTCCCGGGTCGGGCAAAGTACTACTGGTTTTTTTTTTAATTCTCAGTGGTAGCACAGAATCTGTAATTGTGCCCGTAATATGGCAATAAGCTCATCCCCTATTACACGAGACTCGATAACATAAATAGTGAAAAGTCGATGTTACATTGTACGTGGCATTAAGTATCGTAATGTAAACCCCTGTCTTCGAAGGGGTCTTCGGAGATAAAAGACGTGAGGTAATGTTAAGGAAATACCCCAATGTAAGTATCAAAGACCAATGACGTGCCTGAAACTTTCTAATGATAAAGATGATTGTGATCTTTGCATGATTGATATAAACGATATAATAAAAGAAACTGGTCTTTTTTTTGGGACAAGCCCGCCACATCCTCCCAAAACCGCTGCAACTCCTGTAAGCCAGGATCTACAGTAGATACAACCATGAAAACACCGGAACACTGAAGCCCGTCGCGTCCCAGGGACGTGAGTAACTGTCTTGGTTCCCGCAACGAAGTGAATCAGAAGATATTATAAGAGGAAAAGAAGAAAAAACGATGATTTCCACTTCCCTCGGTGAATTACTGCCGAGAAACTGGTGTAAGTGAAACAAGTGAATTTATTTCTGCAAATAGGCTACAAGGTAGCACTTTTACACGTCAATTTTATCAAGCGAACGATGAGGTCGACATTGCCTAACTGACTACTCTGAGAAGAAATGCCGAAACAAACTCAGAGGTCTGTCTCTTTTAAAGTCCAGACAATATGTACAACAGATTATGTGTGAAAACCGTGCAAGTTCTTTCTGTAGTGGCCTTTTGAGGAAAGAACCAAAAAATCTAAATGGTTTTACCCTAATTTGTTACCTGTTACTCGACCATCCAGGCGCCAAAAACCCAAGCTTCTTTATCTACACAAAATTATCCCGGTTTAGAACAAGAAACTCTTCTTTAAGTGATGAAAGTGGGACAACTAATTTTAACCAAGATATTTCTTCGTAACCTCAGCCATTGAATCAGGCTGACTTCACTGCATTACCCATAGAATTTGGTCTTTCTAAAATGCTGCCCATAACCCCGATAGATATTTCGTCCAGCACTTTGCAACTAATGTCAAGGCGCCCTTGCTGTTTGTAATCTAAATTGGTATATGGTAGTGGATTTAAGGGGGGACCTTGTAACTAGTTATACAACTGAATAAAAATACATTGACACGATTAAGATACTTTATTTCCGAAACATGTTCTACGATTCCACGACAGAAGCACATATATAAAGGATAGTTTGTCTTAAATGGATTTGCATTGATACACATAAACCTGTCCTGTCATATCATATCTACTTACATTCCTCGAAGTAGTAAACTTTATTCAAAAAGTATTTTTTCCAAATTCAAGGAGGTAACAGGCATACCCACATTCTATTTAAAATTGTGAGACCTTTTTTACTATTTTGTAATATGCACGTTATATTAGCTCTAAGATTTTATGTATTGAATGAATTTAGGTTTATTTTAGTGTAAGTCGGTATAATTTGACACTGGCTAATAATTATTATGTTATCAAAATGTCAAACCTTCACCCATACAGATCGATATATTATAAACGAGAAATATTGAGAACTACACTACACATACATTTTCTTTTCAATGTTTATAAGTACCGGTTATATTATAAATTGTAGCCAAGATTAAAATAACAATGGTTATGGTAGGCCCTAAAACAATTAAGGCCTACTCAGTTTTCGCATAATATAACAACTATAGTGATTGCTTATTACAAAAGTGTTAATAATTTTAAATATATATCTAGATTGATGAGTTAAAAAATTACTTTTAATACATTTTGGAGGTCTACGATTTTTGTAGAAGCACACTTAAAATACACGCACTACGAGTAATAATATGTATTCCAGACTACACATTCATTTAGTTACAGAGTAGAAATAATTTTACACTTTTCAAAAATAGAAATGCTTAAATATAGGTACATTTAGATTACGATAAATACATTTAGAAAATGTAAGATTTATGTACGTGACTATTATTCTGCGGTTATTAAATAAGTGCTGTCTACAACATATATTTATGAAACTAACTTTTCTTTCATTTCATATTTTTAACACCCAGGTTGTAACATTCGACACAAAAATTACATCGTGGGAATATACTACTGTTTTAATATTTAAAACATAGAATTTCTATTATTACAAAATACACATTTACCATTGCGCCACTAAGTAGTATTCTTAAAATTTATTTCGCGATTCTAGTATTTAGTACAATGAATAGATAAAATACATCTTTTGATTACATGTTGAATAAAATACGTTTAAATCTAGTGTAAGATAAATGTGTATTAATTACATGCTTGATAACTTGACACATTAATTTCTGAATAAGCAGACAATATAAGAAACAAATACAAAGATAATGGCTATCAACTACAAACGATTGAAAAGTATCTAATATTAACTATATAATATTCTTAATGTACCTACACCTACTATTTTTAAATAAATAATATACGTAATGCAAAGTGTCTATATTTCTAGATATAACATACCTTAAACTACTAAAGCATATATTGAAATGGAGCTAGACCTAGATTATGATGTATAATTAAGTTATTAAGTTAGTAAAATACATTAATTCTAGAATAAGCAAACTACGGATAAACAATAAATATTATTATGCATTTGATAATTTTGTTTCGTTGTTTCGCCGATAAGTGACTGATATTCGGTCTATTGTGTGGTATTTATGAGGCAACTATTTCATTTAAATATGGGCAGCTATCTTGCTTATTAAATAATTGGACTAGTTCCATTTCAATGTACGAAGTATTAAGTCTAATTACAGACAGGCTATTTCGAATAATAATCCGTAAATATGTAAAATTTATTATATTTTACTGCTACACACAATATATTAGATAATAATTTATACTATTTCATAAAAGTGGAAATTAAAATATATTTATAGTTTATATATTAATAATATAGGCTTTACTATAATAGAGTTTACTGTTAAGTTAGACTAAATATAAAGATATTTAAATTGTAAATATTATGTACGTTTTCTAATAATTTTCACGATGAATGCTTTATAATTGGTTAGAATACCATGCTCTTTTTAATAGAAATATTTAACACAAAGTGACATTAACTGAAATGACTCTGCAATGAGTACCTACACTCCAAATACTGCACTGTTAGATCGATTGTTGAAGAAGAATTAGTTAGAAAGAATGAAATGAATCTAAAAAGATTCATTTTATAAAAGAACTAGCGACCCGCCCCGGCTTCGCACGGGTGCAATATGCCTGTATTATACATATAAACCTTTAATCAACTAATTGATCAAATAATTTATGATAAAGTGATTTTGATCTTAATTTCAGATTCATATATAAATACTTAATGCTTCTAAACTACCTATACTGATACTTGTTTACTCCCCAGAACGTTGTGCAAAAGATTTTCATATAATTATATAATACATCCATGTTGCAGTTGCAGTAGATATAACTAACTTAATGAGTCATTCAATTAACAAACCTATTGGCAAGTTCGACGTTCCATGTAATGCAATAAAGTCCCACTAGTTATTATTCGAACCAAATAATATAATAATTTATGCATACACATGCAGGAAATGGAACGTCATCGATCCTAATCTCTTGTCCACATATTTAATTAGATGGGTGAATATCATATACGAGTTATTTTAAGGACGCTGCTGAGAATAGCCCAGCCTGGTGATTGAACGACTGATAAAATTAGGTGGATACCACATACGCGTCACTTGATAAGGTACGTGTTCTTTTAAGAAAAAACCATAAGTGAAATATCTGTAATTTAAAGATATACTTTGTTTTACTCAAAGCACTTCCCTAATTAACAAAGCTATGCATAACGGCTGCAATTCTCTTCTAATTATCATCAAATATACGACCATTGCTTGTCAAATCTACTGTCATAACAATAAGACGGTTTAAAATGTAAATCAATTTATGGATTAAAACATTTTTTATTCCGAACCTGAAATGTGGTTATTGAAATAAATACTTTATATGATAATGTATAAAGATTACATTACATGTTTTATAATTATGCATTGCTGCTTAAGCACTGAAAATAATGTGTCTTTTGAATAACCAATGAAAATCTATATACAACTATTATCTATTTAGTGAAAAATGGATTATTTATTAATTTGATAAGCATAAAGGTCTACCGAAAAGCCTAAAGCTTAATATAGATTTATGAATAATATAAAGATATATAGTCTATTACGTAATAAAATATGCAGCTTGCTGACATCAATTTACAACTACACATTAATCGAAAATATTGGGCCAAGGTTTCTTTTCACTTCACTAAAGAATAATGACCCTTTATTATTACAATAGAAAAATATACTTTTTTTACTTTCTCTCTTAGCAAATACATAATATAGAAGCCTATCTAACTACTGTAGATGCTATTTTATACATATGGAGTAAATTAACTACTTGGATTTGAATATGTTTACTTACTTCCCTTACAATACATCAATTTGCAAATAGGTCCAGAACCGTTTTAAGACATTAAATACTTAACCTAATTGCTATAATACGAATCAAATCAATATAATTTTTAATTTATTAATAAATAAAAAATTATATAAATAGCAAAACTTACAAAACTTAGCTTTTTCCCGAGATTATTAAATCGACATTAAGGGTTTCTTAATGCAACGGAATTCAAGATGACTAACGAAGCTGAAATATTCCAGCTTATAGGTGGAAAATATTTTTAGTTTGTAGATACATGTAAACAAAGCCTAAGATCATCGAAGTGACAAAGCAAGTGTTACTGCTACTTAGTCACAAAACCAGTTATCATACCAAACTTTTTAATCTCACTTAAACAAAAACATTGCTAAAGTGGTAGTTTCAGTAGCAGTAGTTTTATTTATATATTAATATTTACTTTTAACGAACAATCACGTTTTCATACACATCTGCATTAAGAAGATTAAGTCATTATAAAGAATCTATTTTATATTTTTTTAAATCAGAAGTATAGAATTTTAATATTTTAATGGAGGTTCACTTCCACGTTTGTACTATGGCGGTCATACAATTGTTTTCTTATCAATACAAATAGAGTTCAAAATTATTATTCTATAAAAGAATTACTTATGTTATAAATATTGAAGGACACCCAAGGCGACTTAACTTTTAAAAATAATTCTACCATCTTCTACGCTGTGTTACAATTGAATTTCATCCCTATTATTTGAAGCACCCAGTGATAGAACATTTCACCTAGATAATGCCACAGATTATCTTATCTTTCTCCCGAAATAGAAACAGAGAGGGCAAGGATTCAATCCTTTAAGATGGGAGAAAAGCATCCGGTACTTGTTACGCACCGAATGAAGTGCAGTTTATTATAAATGACATGAATTTTATCGGTCTTCTGTGAAAGTGTGATTCTACCCGGTCTGACCCAGTCCAATAACGAACTGCAGCTAGGCTCTTCCACAAGAAAGATAAGAAAACCATGGGAACTGAACCAAGTTTATTAAGTTGTGATAAAGACTTATTTATCAGAAAAATGAACCTCTTTTTAACATTTGTTATTTTTGTAAAATCGAATTGAAAAATCTATTGATAGTTTTACATCGTAACATAAAGGAGTAACGCCAGATAGATAATTTTTTGGAAATATATTAGAAGAAATTTATTGATTAATACATCGACTAAACCTACTAACTCTGCAGCTACACTTGCGACGAGAAATCTAATTATCGGTGAAATATACGGATTTCATATTGATACATTTAACCCTACCACAAGTGTCTATCAATAATATAGCCACTAGCCACTAATGAATCGACAAATTTAACCATCGCACTTAAGATAATAATATATGGGACTGCAATGCTATCACGTAGATAAATAAAAATCGTTATAATTACCATAAAATATGATTGTGTTTTCACATTGCCAACTATAATATTTTAAAACATTACATTTAAATACGCTGCTTATAAATGTATTGGATATACACAGAAGATTAAAAACGCCTATGTACATACATATCAAGTTCTATAATAATAATATTACTATGACGAATGTTTACGAATTTTCAGGGAAGTTTACGATCAATAATTATACAAATTGTTAATATAATTTCAAGTATGTACATTAAGGCTACATGGGCATAGGCAGGTAATCTTTAGTGCTTAGAGCTTAGTAAGCAACGTAGTCTATTCGCTAAGAAACACGATGCCTGCACTGAATAGTGCTTTGCGTGATGGGTCACTTGGTGTCTTGATTATTAGCTTATTTTTTAGTACGTCAACGTGATGCCACTTTCGATAATAGCTCTAAACTGTTAGATGACTATATACGGTCCCACGGTTTTATCCATGATATAAATAAGTCACGTTTAAGCGGATTTTCAATGTTCTTTATACACAAATTTATTATTTTGACGATCTATTTTACGCATATTTATTTATGTATGAACAGAGAAAGATCGATTTATTTGTCAGTAAAGTTAAAGCAAATTAAAGTAATTGCCGAAAGATGATGGTTTGGATAAGTCATCTTCTAGTCGTAAGATTTAATTAAGACAAGTGTGTTAACAAACATTCTAGGTATACATCACATCCAAACCCGGAACAACAATTGTCTAATCAAACCCACGACAATAATCAAACCTACGACATCAATGAAATCCACGACACGTTATACAGCAGCCACTTTTGCTCAACCACTGCGCCTACCGTGCATTATTAATATTTTTCATTCTTTTATTTTCAAGTTGCCTCGCGCCTTGCCTCGCTTAAAATTAACACATTCGTTTACACACCAAGCTATAAGTTAAGCCCCAAGCGTAGAGTCGTAAAACGTTCATTATACTACGCTACTTACTGGGTTTTATGCACTAGGCACCAACTGCCAGTGCGGACGTAGCCTGACGTAGCCTAAGAAATCTAAGTAAATTCTATATATGTATACTATGAAATAAAATATTATTCCATTAAACCTAAGACGCGGATAAACCGACAAGAGTTTGATTAATAATTTTTTACAACTATCCATAAATAATAAAATTATGTATTGTGAAAAATCTGCCAATTACTAGTATGATACTCCTACACACATTGTACACTGATAAAAGTCATTGTAGCTTAGGAGTTAAGGTAGGTAGACTATTTTGTTATTTGAAATAAAAGAAAACTTCGTAAGACGTTAGACTTATTATCCTTACTATCCACCGTAAGCAAGGATAGCAATGATTCCTTCAATTCCTTCTCTGTAGAAGCAGCTAAATTCAATGGTGAACATATACAGAGTCGAGTATTTCGCTAGCTTTGGTATTTAGCTCGCATGTGGCTGATGTAACCTATATTTGCCACAAAAGTTTTCATACAAAAAGGACATGTTAATAATATTGAATAGGTGACACCCATTTAAATTATTTCTTTTTAATAATGAAGTCAATATTGTGTTTTAAAGGCCTTACTCAGCCTATGGTGGATAGACGAGGAATCGTCCCACTCAGAAAATACACTTTCCCGCTTTATAATATTGCAACGATGTTATGTGTCTGTTAAAAAGTTAAAGATGTAGTTCAGTGTATTAGTGGTACTACAGTAAAATTCTTTGATAAATTGAATTTTATAGTATCATATCAGTAATAAAAAGTAAAAGACTATAATTAACATTTTTATATAACTAAACTTTTGCTATCGCAAAAGTTGTTTACTATATTTACTCAGATAAAGCGCAGTTAACTTGTTATTTCGTAAGATACAATTTTAATCTAACCTTAACACACTACTATTTAATAAGTCATATAAACTATGTCTACTTTGCAATCTACTCATAATCTTTTTATGTCATTTGGTAAATTTCTTAAAACTTATTTTTTCTTACACATAATTAATGTATTACTTTTGCTATTTAACCTAATTATGGTATACTATTATCATTACCAATACCATTAAATTATCATATCTGTACAATCTACTCGTTTTCTCTTTTTCGTGCCACTTTAGTCATACCGTAACCTATTATAATATGTATTTTACTAACAACTATTTGTTGCTATATTCCTGAAGTTTATCAATTATCGTTTCATATACGTAACTAATACGTTTACTTTAACCAAGTTTTGTAGAAAGACAATACTACTAAATACGACAAGTGAAACAAAATTATTTTCTAAGAAGTATAACATACAATAGAACTGAACGTATAGACGAGTTTTAAAAGACTACGAAGAAATGTACACCTAGTTAAATGGTAACAGATCTATGACGAGTGAACTTATAAGAATATGTTTTAGTAAAATATTTCTAAGATTGTGATAACAAATGCAGCAAGTTGTTTTTGGTATTTAGATTTGAATTATTCTGTTGTTACTTATAATTTTAACAAGTTAGGTTAATAATGTCAGAATAATACATAATCGTGTGTGTACTTAATGATTTTATAATATTATTTGGTTCACACCAGTGTAATAACTAGAAATATTAAAATGTGTTACTCGCAACTTCAATAAAAATATACTCCTTATTAATATTGTACATTACGTAGAATCATGATTTCTGTAGTTACCCTAATTAGATTAGACAAAATCGAATGCTGAAAACCTTATAATAGTTATAATAACATCTTTTAATAGATAGAAGTATCAGTTATCAAGCATATAATACACGATAAAAGAAAAATCTTATTTATTTTTAAAATGCTCTATAGTGCAGTATACATTTATATTAGCTTCAAAATTGTAGGTTATACATAGAATATTTCATCACGATTAATGATGACGAGCAACATGAGACATAAGGCCCCAAGAATGCAATTCTTTTTTTGTGGATGCTAACTGAGAAAAGTACGAATAAAGAAAATAGTACCTAATAAATATATATACTTAGAAACAGTGTATATCAACACAGACGAGTTTATCTGTAAGGAAGATACGAGTGCAGAATGTGCGAAGGCTTAAAGACTGCGCTCTTCAAAATGTTCCACTTCCTCTACTTCCATTTATTGAAAAATCGATTAAACAATGATATTATTAAAAATGCTTTAACATTGCACAAATTTGAAATGAACATCCCGAATTTTATCTATTTGAATTATTTAAAAATCTCAATCTCAGAGCCTTGCCTTTTGTTGCACATCGAATAAACACATATTCTACGATTTCGTAGTTTATTAAATACATCAATCCGAATTCTATACCACAGTCCAATGTATTTATTTAAGTTTAAAATTTAAAACCGAATATAAGAATTTCATAATTTATTTAGAATCTACAATATTATTAAAGGTAATCTTAAAATGTCTAAAAATAAGCAACGAACTTTAGTTTGAGACCATTATACGCATACTATCAAGCATTATGAATATATAGGTATATGTAGACATCAATGAATTTATTGAAAATTTTAGTCGTCGTAAGCAACCTTCAGACAGTCGTAATAATCTACAAGCATATTTACGAAAAAGACTTTTAACTAGATTTTAAATATAATTAATTAATTGGGACTGGGTTTAGTATTCGAATCATTGTAATGGATTTTATGGGTACTTATCATTTGGCGTCGTACATTTCTTTGATGCGGGTCTTTAGTTGCTTCGTGTAGCTATCCAAACGATAGGCATTTTCTTCAAGTCTGGCTACCATGATATCAATATCATCAATTTGAGAAAGTAGCGGTTTGATGGTGTTGCCATCTGTACGGACAAAAAGATTATATTAGGTACCTATTTATATGGTGCCATTATATAGATCCTATAACAAACTGTTACACATTAAACTTTGTATTATGTTACTTACAGAGATCATTATATTCCATCAGTGTTCGGTTTAAATTCACAGCGAGATTGCGCAAGTCGGTGTACTTAGTGATGGCCAAACGATTGATTTCCTCCAGCAACATGTAATGATCCTAAAAAGATATACATATTTTCGGTATAAAAAATACTTTTTTAAATTAAGAAACATAAGAGGGATTTAATAATGCTTACACCCCCAGACGCAATTTCTCCTTGCAAGTACTCATTCGTCCGTTTAAACAGAAGGGTAGCCAGTCGACTCAGAGTGGGGTCATGGGGATCGAGTACCTCAAAGCTTGAATGCGTCGGTGATGCGTAGATATCTAAAAACAAAAAACATCATCTTATTTATTTAGTTGCGGAATTTAAAACAGGAACAAATCATATCTCTGTAAAGAACTTTATAGTATTCCGATGCTTTCATGGTTGTATCTACTGTAGATGCTAGCTTGAGGGAACTGTAGATTCTGACTTAAAGGAGTTGCAGCGGTTTTAGGAAGTTGTACGGGCCTGACCCATTGAAAACAAGGTAATTTTGTAAAAGAAAAACGAACAGATGTACCTCTATGTACAAATAGAGTATCGTAGAGTTGTCACACTAAGTAGAAATATTTTATTATTGAAGTATAGCCACCTATATTAATTTAACTAAACAAACTGGATTCTAGGCGTACGATGCTGGGTATTTATTTGGGTTGAGTATTTATTTAAAATACCCAACCCAAAATTCAAATCAAAAACAATTTTGGAAAACGCAGCGGCATATGTACCTATACCGGTCCCTTCCCCTTTCTCCTCGTATACCCGGGACATTATTTATCAGTTTATGTGGAGAAGAACGAGATAGCTAACAAAGCGGAGTGAGGATGTGGAAGGGGTACCGTGCAAATGGTTACCCCGAAACAGACTTGGGGCGGGGTTGAAATATAAAATATAAACGAAATATTTATCGTAAATAAAGTGTTTGTACAATGTACAAAAAGTGTGCGTCCTAAAACTCAATTTCGTGTACGCACGTACGAACACTGAGATAGCGAACACGAACATATAAACTGAACATTTGGATCGTATGTATAGACCCGATGTTCGAACACGAATGTGAATATAGTTCGAGTCGAGTTCGCGCACAAGTCGTGAACTGAGGTACGGGTACCGAGTAGCTTCGACACCGTCCATACAGAAAACATATATCTACTAAAAGGATCGACACAAACATGTGTGACGAACAGAGTATTCGATGTTCGTTAGTGGTACGCACATGCAAATCAAGTTGTTGCCTATCATGCAACGGAATAAATTTATTCGTACGTGCGTACACGGCTTAAGAGATATAATTTGGACAGGTGATGTTTCCCCTTTTATGATCACCCTAGCCAACATAGAAGCTAGCGCAGTCTCAGACAGACAAAGGATAATTGAAAATACAGGAAGTTAATACACTATACACGATTGAGATAATAATTGACGATCGACTGAATGGGCAGCAATTCGACTAAATGGGAAGCAGACTGGCTACACGAAGAAATCTAACTTGAATTGCCGTATAGCAGTAACTAATTAGGCTTGTCCAGGTTATTTCTTATTCCTGAAATTTTATTGCTCAAGTACTGAAGCAGTTAAGACTATCGTAAGCCGTTGATGATGGTGAAAATTGTACACAATACAAACAATTTTTTTTATGAGCTAAGAAGTAGGTAAACGATGACCATTAAGTAATTAGCGTCACCTATCTATTTACATCCGTACACGACAGAAGTTACAAGTGCGTTGCTAAATTTTTAGGAGCGTAGCTCTGGTAATCACACTTACATAGCGAAACACAATGGAAGGATTAACAAAACGCAATATGCATAATAGTTCAACCATTTGGTAGTTCTACCAGGAACGTTTTCCGGGAGAAAACTGTATATGGCCGCCATTTTCCAAGATGTCGGCACGAGCGGCGCATGTACGAGAGTGAAAAAGGGAAATCGAAAAGAGAGCATATCCACAATATTGCCAATTTTCGAAACTCCCGGACGGGAAAACATTTCAGGCAACTCCCATATTTCTTCCTTAATAATCGAACTATAAAAAATAATTGAATTTAAAATCAAAGCAAAATACAATCGAGAAACCACAATTAAACTCTAACGTAAATAAAATATTAACATCTTGTCACCTTTATACCGTTTGGAATATTACTAGAAAAGTGATGTGTAATGTCGAAATAGGGATGAGGCGGTGGGGATAATTCCACCTAGCTCCTCCCCTCACCCCTCTCTGCTAAAGTTGCATCGGATCAATAACATGCAATGGCGCAGTAGAAGCATCGCCATTTTGTTTTCCTAAAATGGAGAATAAAAGGCGTGTTCATGACGCCTTTTATTTTCCAAAAGGTCAAGCAGATAAATAAATGAAATAAAACATCTTAACGCAATACATATAAAATAATATTTCAAACATATTTGAATAATATTGCTTAGAATGAGTAATCAAGGTAGTGATTTTTAATATCATTTATACGATAGGACTTAAATCTTACCATCGTAGTTAGCATAGTCGTTATAGTCATATTCGTATTCACTATCATCTTCGTTTTCGTTTACAACGCCATTCTCTCGAGCTTCTCTTGCTTGTTGCGCCTGCTGAAGCTCAATCAGTCGAATTTTCACGCAAACTTCGCAATCGGCGTAAAACACGAATGGGGAACGCATGATTAGACGATATCAAATAACTTTTCAAATGGATAACGTTTCGTACGAACAATTACTTCATTATTTGGACTCGTCACACAGCGTACCGACTAACTTGCGGACCCGGCGGCAACTGGGCGAGACGAGGGGTTCGAGCTAGACGCAATTATCGAGGGGTCGATATGACGCATGCGCGTTTAGCTCCGTCTGGTTTTAAGTGAATAGAAGGGTCAACTCAATGTCATACACAAAGTAACCTTAAGACGTGGGACTATATTTTTTTTATTTAAGTTTTATACAATTGCGTAAGGAAGACTTAATGCTAACAGCATTCTCTGCCAGTCATTCTTTGGGTAGTGCAGAAATGTATGTGGTAGGTTGTAAGCTGCAAATATGTTATGAGAGATAGTGGTAATTATCCAAATTAATGAAAGAGCATCAAAAGCATACATAAAATACGTACCTACATAATAATTAAATGTCATAAATACATATAAATTATGACATTTAAAAAAGTTTTAATGCAGACATTAATAGTCGCCCACGCCTCGGCGTAGTGTTCGCAAGTGCGGCTGCCGAGCAGGGAATCTCGGGTTCGATTCCCAGATCGGCCAAAGTATTACTGGGTTCTCACTTGTAGCACGGAGTCTGGAATTGTGTCCGGTATATGGCAATAGGGTCACGCCCTTTTACATGGGCCTCATAATATAAATAGTGAAAAGTGGGCGTTATATTGTACTAGCTCTTACCCGCGGCTTCGCTCGCGTCATAAAAGGATAAAAAGTAGCCTATGTGACATATACCAATACACACAGCGCCGTCTATACCAATACTTTACAATCTCGTACAAAACTCATAGAAAACTGTCGTTTTTGACAGTTTGAAAAAAAGTATTGAATTTGACTAGTTGACTAGTACCCAATTGATCGGTTTATAATAAATAATGGAAGATTTAATTTAATTTTAGGTTAAGCTTGAAGCTGTTAAGACTACGCCACATTCCAATAATTGTATAAGAAACGAAGTTAAAAATGAAATAACTCTAACTATAGATAATTTGAGAAAAGAAGTAAAAATGACAATGACCAAATTTGTATGGAGCGTGGTGCCTTTTTATTTTTTCGCGGCAGTTGATCGAATGTGGAAAAACTGATGCAGAATAACATTACAAACAAAAAAATATATGGGGTCTTATATCAAAAACACAGTCCAAATCGAGTTAAATCAGTTCAAAGATGTGAAAATAGTGCTATAATATCCCTGTGATTTTGTTGATGGTGACCGTACACAACGCATATTTCTTCATTTACTTGTCAGAAATATTTTGTAATAAATGTTTATAAACGATTTCAAGGAATATAATAAAGCTTATTGTGGACTTTTTTACTTTTTTTTTGTTTTTTTTTTTTGTTATAAGGCCGCTGAATCAGAACAGAGTGAACCATTAACTGACCACTGCTGAAAAAAAAGAAACATTTCGCTTGATTGGCTAGCGTGTTCAATTTATATGTATACGGTTTATGGCCTACGACAGATTTTCATGATTTCCTCTCAGTCAAAAACCCGCAAAATACTTTACTGAGCCCTATCATGAAATGCTATGTTTGTCAGCTGCGGCGTCGGTAGCGAATTGAATAGCGCTGATCACTTTAAAAGTCGACGGTTTTCTTTCTTCAAAAGATTATGCTAACTATTAAGTAGATGAGTGTCCCACCAGGAGTCAATGGCAAAAAAATATATACTTTATTAGATGTTTGGACGGCTACCACTACTCAACCCACCACTGGTACCACAGCTGACGCTCATGAAGCTTCATGACACAACTCCTAGAAGCATCCCATAAGTTATCGACTGAGAGAAAATAGCTAATAAAAATTAGCGACTGGCAATATGGATATATTGTGGTGTGATTTGGTGCTTCTGTGCCCGGCGTACAGTGGCGCGCAATTTGAATTTAGGAATTGTGACAAAAATATGAATAATTTGAATAAAAAAACGAAAGTAAAATGTTTGATTCCAGCTCTTTTCAACGCTCATAACTCAGTCCAGACTGAGATTTCCATATATGAGCCCATAGACAATTTCGTTTGTAATGACATTCTAGACAATATTTTCCATAAACCATCGACTGCCGCCAGAAAAAAGAAATACACCAATTTTAGTCAATGCCATTTCTGACAAACCTATTCCTAAACTCTACAACGATAGTCTAATAAAATATAAAAACTCCATATTTGATACCATCTCTAACTTTCCATCCTATTCAAATTTAAAACACAGTCTATACAATGCCAGGAACGAATCGCTGGGTGTTACAAAAACGGCATTTACCAATATACAAGAAATAGAAATACCACTAAAATTCAAAGACTTTTTATTCACTGATTATTACTATGATGGAACACGTATAATTGTTTTTTGTTCATTAAAAGCAAGACAATTAATGAAAAAGTTAGATGAGTATTTTACGGACGGAACCTTTAAATGTTGCCCCAGACCTTTCGTACAATTGTTTACAATATTTGGCGATACAGGAAGCACAAATGAGTCTACCGATGTTACACCTTTGGTTTTTGCTTTTCTAAGCGACAAAGAGCAATCCACTTATTTTGCGTTATTCGAAATGTTACGATCACAGTTAAATTGGGATCCAAAAATCTTACACTGTGACTTTGAAATGTCTGTTCTAAATAGCATTAAAGAATTTTGTCCGACAGATATAATTATAGGCTGCTATTATCATTGGACACGGTGCGTTTGGAGAAAAGCAAAACAATTGGGTATCTCAAAAACTAAATCAAAAAGAACAAGAAGGACTATTTCCTTATGCTCAGTTTTGCCGCTATTACCGAGTGATAAAATTGTAGAAGGCTGGGATTACATAAAAGAAGATAGTGGTGTTGAAACTAACAAACTCATTCAGTATATAGAGCATTATTGGATTACAGCTTACATGTAGTTTTCATGTAGTTAAGGTTATTAGAGTTGGGAGAAGTAGTTTTTTAAATTAATTGGACCACGGAACTCTCAAAAGGTGCTGTGGTCCAACTATTATTAAAGTAGGATAACTGCCCCTTGTAGAGACCCGTGGTCCAACTAGTGGGACCACTGCCCCGCAATGTTTTTTTTCAATACTCAGGCAAGCCATCAGTTAGTACTTATCCAACAGTTAACAAGATTCTCGATTTTCAATAACCAGTTAGGCTTTATCTAACAGTTTAACTCCCTAACTGACTGCTATATTTAACTGTCTGTTCAAGGTGTTCAGTTGGTTACTATCTGACTGTTTATTTGATGTTCCTCAGTCATTACAACCCTACATTTTTAGGTCAGAACTGCGGTGATTTTACTCGTTATTGTAGAAGAATGGAAGTTATCGATTCTATTGGAGACATGGCGATTGAAGAAAGCAACGCAATTGAATTATTTGAATCCAGACTGAAAACAAAGGGCTAAGGGCCTTTGCGTTTCTATGCGGGAGTTTTTAAATAGCAAATGGTGATTTTGCAGGAATACACAATTCTACAGTTCCTAAAATTATAAAAAATTACATCGCAACGCGCAGAATTTAATAAATTTCCTACTAAGTAATAAGGAAGAACTACTGTCAATACAGGAAGGCTTTTATAATATTTCCCGTTTTCCCAGAGTTATATATGCATTAAATTGTGCCCAATAGTTCCAGGTTAATTGGTATTATGTAACATTTTGTAACAGTATTAAAAAGGAGTGTGGAACGTAATACAGAATCACGTTTGTACGACACTACTGGATGCAGAAAGCATGGCTCATAGAAATTTCTATTCTCAGAAAGCACGTTTCGCCGAAAACTTCATTGGTAGAAAATATTGTTCGTAGATAACTCGTTCCATAGAAAGCACTAGCCATAGAAATCGCTATTCCTAGACAGCTCGTTTTGCCGAAAACTTTGTTGGTAGAAAATACTATTCGTAGATATCTCGTTCCATCGAAAGCACTGTTGATAGATAATTGTGTTCATAGATAGAATTTTTGACATAAACATCGTCTATAGAAACAGCTTTTTCCGGAAACCTTGATTCACAGAAACTAGAGATATTCATAATTATATCTATAGAAATAAAAACAACAACCGAAAGTAAGTACCTCTTAAATTTAATTTCGAAATACCGAAATATCTATCTCATTGGAGATGAGCAATTTTTAATCCAACAGTATATATCTCAAAATTTCAAATGACTAATTAATGCAATAGTTTAGTAATGGATGGCACGTTATCTACATGTCCAGCGCCATTTTCTCAAGTATGTGCAATGTGAATATTTATGGTTCCAAATATTTTTTTTTTGTTTTTTTGTAGTTATTAGATTGCCACAACTGTTTTCCATTTTGGCGCGGAGTTTGAGCGCGTTCCACACTCATTAAAAGAGTGTGGAACGTAATATAGAATCACGTTTGGACGACAATACTGGATGCAGAAAGCATGGCTCATAGAATTTTCTATTCTCAGAAACCACGTTTCGCCGAAAACTTCATTGGTAGAAAATATTGTTCGTAGATATCTCGTTCCATAGAAAGCACTAGCCACAGAAATCTCATTTCCTAGACAGCTCGTTTTGCCGAAAACTTTGTTGGTAGAAAATACTATTCGTAGGTATCTCGTTCCATAGAAAGCACTAATGATAGATAATTCTGTTCATAGATAGCATTTTTGATATAAACATCGTCTGTAGAAACAGCTTTTTCCGGAAACCTTGATTCACAGAAACCAGAGACATTCATAGTTATATCTATAGAAATGAAAACAACAACCGAAAGTACCCCTTACATTTAATTTCAACATACCGAAATATCTATCTCATTGAAGATGAGCAATTTTTAATCGAACAGTATATATAAGGCAGACACATGTAATACAATTTTTTTAGAATTATTGAATTATTCTGAAAACTGTTTCTTGACGGTATTGATAATTAGTAATTATCAGATTTTTTAACATATTTTAAATTAGTAGAATTACCAATTTAATATATATAAAAAAATACTCTGTGAGATGTGAATAATGACTGCCGCCACCTCGCGCCCATGCTGGCCGGCCAATTCGTCAAACATCGGGGTGCTCTCGGCAATCCTCGATACGATCGTGCGGCGTTCGACCACCGACTCAATACTCGATACATTTCTATGAACTTTCTTTTGTC